CTACAAATGGAAATAACATTTCTCTTTTTATATTGATCTGAGGTGGGCTAATATTTTGGTTTCACATAGCCCTTGATTTGGTAGAATCCACACTAGTATTGGTTTATTAATTTTAAATAGTTAAATATTTTACATATATCTTAAAGTTTGGAATATTAAAGTTTCCTACCATAGGCCAATCATTTAGTGCCAGCCTTTTGTTTCAACATAGGTCTAATCTACTCCTTATTGATTACATGACACAAACAGTGCATGGGCTATTATTTATATTTTTAGTTTATTTAAACTAGAATATGAACCTCAAGATGCTTGTGAAGCAGTCTGAGTAAGGTCTTTGATTTTTATATCTCATTAATCTTTACTATTGTCTCAGTCATGTCTACTTCAATAACAATGTAATGTTCATCTGTAGCCCGTACTTTCAAAACAATCAACTTAGTTTTCATAGAAAAATGGTTGTCTTTTGCTGCTTGTAGAGATAATAACTCACATAAACAAATTTGGGAACAAACGTTGGCTGACTTTTTGTTAAGATTACAGCTCAGCTCTTTGTAGAGTAGTCTCCTAGGTAAGAAGTGTCAACATGTCAATGTCTTGATCTGGCATGTCACTTAAGTTGGGTTCACTATATGCCTTCTGGAAATGTTCAGTTTGTTTTTAATCAAAACCTCCACATTTATTTGGGTAAGTTTTATAACTTATGCTACTTTTTATGAGTAATTATGAACGTTTTGTTCTGTTTATTTGTACATTGTTCACTCTATTCCATTACTTTTTCTGTTGTTTTATGTTTCTTATGTCAATTTGTATGGGTTTTTGTGCTGTGAACACTTTCTCATTTTTCATTTTTTTAAAGATTTTATTTATTTTTAGAGAAAGGGGAAGGGAAAGAGAAAGAGAGGGAGAGAAACAACTATGTGTGTTTGCCTTTTGCACACCCCCTACTGGAGACCTGGCCCACAACCCAGGCATGTGCCCTGATTGGAAATTAAATGAGTGACCCTTTGGTTTGAAGGCCAGTTCTTAATCCACTGAGCCTCACCAGCCAGGCCTCATTTTTCTTATAAATGTTATGACTGTTTAATTTGACTTTGACACTAGCTTTTTGATTACTGATTTTCAGTTTATAATTTCCAAGTAAATTCTTTGAAATTACCACCTTATTTTAAGAACATTATTCATACATTTGTAACTGTCCCTTACTACTGTTATGACTAGCTATTCATCATTTTATATATCATTTGTATCATATTTATCATAATGATGTCCTGAATTAACTTTTTCCCAAAAATTTTGACAACATTCCTATAATGTATTGCTGCCGTGGCTGGGGAGGTGAAGACAGACAGGTGATATGGGAGGAGAGCAGGAGGGGTGCTTTTCCTACACACAATTTAAATCATCGTTACCTTTTAATCTCTTTTTAGTATATCCTTTAAACTTATTGAAATATAAATGCATGCAAATATACAGAAATTATAAGCATGCAAGTCACTGAATTTTTCACAAAGTGATCACATGTAAATTCAGAAAAAGAGCTTTGCTAGTACATCACAAGCTTCCTCCTAACTCCTAGTCATTCCTTCTCACCAAAGTTGACCACTATCCTGACTTTTAAGAACTCTATAGATTAATTTTACTGTTTTCAGGCTTTATAAAAATGCAGCCATACAGTATATATTCTTTTATATCTGGCTTTGTTAACTCATTATTGTTTGTGAGATCAATTTAAGTTAGGTGCACTTATAGATTATTTTTGTTGCTGGGCAGTATTGTGTTATATCAAAATGTCATAATTTACTTAGCAATTCTTCTGCTGATGAACACTTCTTTCCAATTTGCACAAATAAAAATAATGTTTCTGTATTATGAGGTTTTTCTTCTTTTTAAAAAAAATATATTTTATTGATTATGCTATTACAGTTGTCCCATTTCCCCCCCTTCATTCCCATCCACCTTGCACACCCTCTCCCACCCACATTCCCCCCCTTTAGTTCATGTCCATGTGTCATAAGTTTTTTAGCTTCTACATTTCCCATACTATTCTTGCCCTCCCCCTGTCTATTTTCTACCTACTGTCTATTCTACGTATTCTCTGTACATTTTCCCCCTTTCTCCTCCTCCCACTCCCCTGTTGCTATCCCTCCATATGATCTCCATTTCTGTGGGTCTGTTCCTGTTCTAGTTGTTTGCTTAGTTTGTTTCTCTTTGTGTTTTAGGTGTGGTTGTTAATAATTGTGAGTTTGCTGTCATTTTACTGTACAAGTTTTTTATCTTCTTTTTCTAAGATAATTCTTTTTAACATTTCATATAATAAGGGCTTGGTGGATGAACTCCTTTAACTTGACCTTATCTGAGAAGCACTTTATCTGCCCTTCCATTCTAAATGAAAGCTGTGTTGGATAGAGCAATCTTGGTCCTTGCCTTTCATGACTTGTAATACTTCTTTCCAGCCCCTTCTTGCCTGCAAGGTCTCCCTTGAGAAATCAGCTGACATTCTGATGGGAATTCCTTTGTAGGTAACTGTCTCCTTGTCTCTTGCTGCTTCTAGGATTCTCTCCTTCATTTTAATCTTGGGTAATGTAATTATGATGTGCCTTTGTGTCTTTGGGACTCTCTGAGCTTCCTGGACTTCCTGGAAGTCTATTTTCTTAGCCAGATTGGGGAAGTTCTCCTTTATTATTTGTTCAAATAAGTTTTCCACTTGTTGCTCTTCCTCTTCTCTTCCTGGTACCCCTATAATTTGGATGTTGAAACTTTTAAAGATGCCCTGGAGGTTCCTAAGCTTCTCCTCATTTTTTTGAATTCTTGTTTCTTCCTTCTTTTTTGGTTGGTTGTTTCTTTCTTCCTTCTGGTCCACTCCATTGATTTGAGTCCTAGTTTCCTTTCTATCACTATTGGTTCCCTGTGCATTTTCCTTCATTTCACTTAGCATAGACTTCATTTTTTCATCTAACTTGTGACCAAATTCAACCAATTCTGTGGGCATCCTGATCACCAATGCTTTGAACTGTGCATCTGATAAGTTGGCTATCTCTTCACTGCTTAAATGTATTTGCTGTAGAGCTTTGATCTGTTCTCCTGTTTGGGTCATTTTTTTTTGTCTTGTTGCACCTGTTACATAGTGAGGGGCAGAGCCTTAATTATTTAATGCGGCGGGGCAACCCAGTTGCTGGGTTGTGACACTGTGTGGGGGGACAGAGTCCAAGAGAGAACAATGGTGCTTGCTTCGCTTTCTGTCTGATTTCAGTCCCTTCTGCTGCTTCAGTTCTTTCTGCTGCTTGAAAGGCCCTTTAATTAAACTGGGCCTTTCTGGTGCTAATCCCCATGTGGGTGGGCTTGTGCACGTTCTAGGACCTCATGGGTGTCTCTAACAAACTCTCCTGTGAGGCTTGGAGTCTCTCCCTGTGCCTCAACCCCCATGGGTGTTTTCAATCAATGTTTTGAGGCTTTATTTCCTGGTGCTGGGACCCTGGGTTGCATGGTCTGTCTTGCTCCCCAGTTTTGCCTGGTTTATCTGCACGCAAATGTGGGATCACCCAGTCAGCCAGCTGCCTTGTGCGTAGTGCCTTGCTTCACAATTGCTGCCTCACTGGGTCTGCCTGTTGCCACCCCATGCCTGGGTCTGCCAGCCGCCGCCTGTGCACCCAGGGTCCGCCCACTCCTGTCTTGCGGACCCAGGTTTTGTCAGCTTCTGCCTTGCGCGCCTGGTGCCACTGTTTTTGTGCCTGGGCCCAATAGCACCCCACCTATGAGTCTGGATGAATGTGTCTATTTTAACTCCTTGGTTGTCAGACTTCCACACAGTTCAATTTTCTGTCAGTTCTGGTTGTTATTTTGTTTCTGAATTTTTGTTGTCCTTATTTTGGTTGTGTGAGAAGGCACAGTGTGTCTACTTACACCTCCATCTTGGCCAGAAGTCCTCTGTATTATGAGTTTCTTAAACTACTGTTTTCTTTTTGAAAATTATTGAACACTTATTACAAAAATGTTGAGAAAATTTGTAACATAATTGTGCATAGTTATATAAACTTGCTGAAAATAAGTAGAACCTGTCATTACCCTGGTTGTGAAAGCAGAAGGAGGTTTACTCATGACTATGCAAAGTAGAAAATGAGCTGTGTTGACAGTATCTGCAAGTGAAAGTAGACAAGCAGTTGGAAGGATAATCACTTGTAAAGAAATCACCATTTTCCATGTTTATATTTGACTGAGATAGATTACATGGGCTTTTGTTTTCCATCTCTGTTGGGAATGATGAAAAAGAATATTTAATCAATGTAGTAATGTGCAAGAATGATGGCAAGGCAACATGTGCAATAACTTTTACAAATTGTGAGAAATTAATAAACAGTCACTATGTTCTATGATTTGTTATTCAATGATAATTGAAAGATTATTTCTGCCCTCAAGGAGATTTAAGATAAGAAAATAAAAATTGAGACAATTCAGGAATATGTTACAACAAAATTGAAAAAAAGTGTTAAGCAAGAAACAAGTTACTGAGATAGGAAAGAAAGGATATAAATTAGTTGAAATTACCAGGAATAATGTTTTTGTAACATGGTAGCTAAAGGATGAAAGGAACCCAACCAGCTGGATAACCCAAGTCAGTGTTCCTAGGAATTTTAATAACCAGTGAAAATCTCTAGGAAATGGAAGGATCATGACATAGGAGCAAAGGGGACAGTCAGTGTTTTAAAATAAGGTAAACAGCAGCCATGTTATTCATGGTAAGGTGTTTATACATTATTATAATTGAAAGAAACCATTAAAATTTTCAAGTACAGAATTTCAAACTTTGATCTGAATCTCAACAATCTGGTGTTACCATTTTCTTTATTCCCCTTTACTTTCTTCAACTTAAATGATTATTTTAGAGTTTTTGCATCCATTTACTTCAACTGGGTTTTATTTTCTATTTTAAGGCTTTTATTTGCTTACTTGTTTACTTTTTCTAGAATAAGAAAATAGCATGCATTTATCCTTTTTTTTTTCAGATTTGGAATCCAAAATATTTCAAAAGGATATTTATGAAATGAATTTGTCACAGTGGGATATAATGGAAAATATTAGAAGTTATAGCCTGGAAGCCTTCTTTTTCAGAAAAAAATGTGAATATAAAATGTTTGAGGGCCAAAAAGGTCTTCAGAAGGGATATTTCAGGCAAGTGAAAAAAAACACTTCTGAAAAAAGGCCCACTTGCAGAAAACTTAAATCTCTGACTTTATATGAGAGAATTCATAATAGAGAGAAACCTTATGAATGTGGGGAATGTGGAAAGGCTTTTAGAGTACGCCAACAACTTACTTTCCATCAGAGGATTCATACTGGTGAGAAACCCTATGAGTGTAAAGAATGTGGTAAAGCCTTTAGACAGTGTGCCCACCTTAGTCGACATCAGAGAATTCATACTTCTGACAAACTCCTTGAATGTAAAAAATGTGGAAAGATCTTTACATGTAGTGCAGATCTTCGAGTACATCAGAGAATTCATATTGGTGAGAAGCCCTATGAATGTAAAGAATGTGGGAAGTCCTTTAGAGTACGTGGACAACTTAATCTCCATCAGAGGATTCATACTGGTGAGAAACCCTATGAATGTAAGGAATGTGGAAAGACCTTTAGACAGTATGCACACCTTACTCGACATCAAAGACTTAATGTTGCTGAGAAGTGCTATGAATGTAAGGAATGTGGGCAGGCTTTTCTGTGTAGTACAGGCCTTAGAATACATCACAAACTTCATACTGGTGAAAAACCTTATGAATGTAAGGATTGTGGGAAGGCATTTAGAGTAAGGCAACAGCTTACTCTCCATCAGAGAATTCATACTGGTGAGAAACCCTATGATTGTAAAGACTGTGGGAAGACTTTTAGCCGTGGCTATCATCTAACTCTCCATCAGAGAATTCATACTGGAGAGAAACCTTATGAATGTAAAGAATGTCAGAAGTTTTTTCGTCGTTACTCAGAACTTATTTCACATCAGGGTATTCATATTGGAGAGAAACCCTATGATTGTAAGGAATGTGGGAAAGCATTTAGACTATTCTCACAACTTACTCAACATCAGAGTATTCATTTTGGTGAGAAACCTTATAAGTGTAAGGAATGTGAGAAGACTTTTAGACTGTTCTCACAACTTACTCAACATCAGAGTATTCATACTGGTGAGAAACCCTATGACTGTAAGGAATGTGGAAAGGCCTTTAGACTTCATTCATCACTTATTCAACATCAGAGGATTCATTCTGGTGAGAAACCATACAATTGTAAAGAATGTATGAAGGCGTTCAGACAACACTCACACCTTACTTACCATCAGCGAATTCATAATGTCACTAAATAATTATAAGAAAGTCTTCCATTGTTAATATTACGTTAGGGAACTTTGGTAAAAAAATTCTAAAGGAAAGTTTTTGAATGTAAGAATTCCTTTTACTTCATGCTCACAGCTAACTTAAGAGGTTTTATTTTAAAGGAAGGATATGTCCATGAATATGAAGAAGCTTTTCATCACCATTTAAATGATGTTAAATTTTAGGAAACTTATTCTAGAAAGAAAATCTCTTAAAGGAGTGAATGTGGGAAAGAAGTTGATGTGGTAATGTTCTCTAGTAGAGAATTTTGCAACACATGAAATTAATGGAACTAGTCAGGATTCTCAGTAGAGGTTAAGAACACTAGGTGAAATGTTGATAGGAACTTCATTGTGAGTAGGTAGGTCAGGCTGACATCTGAACCCACTGACTAATTTAACCTCATCAAAAATATGACAAAATATCTTAATGAGGTAAAATAAGACATCTTGTCAAAAAATATTGAAACAATCTAAGTAAGCATCAAGATCTAACTCCCAGTTTACAGGAAATTCAGGGAGTGGAAGAACAAATTACATGATGCAAAAAGAAGCATTTAGATCTAAAATATGGGTAATTCTATAAGGGGGATTACCTGGCTTCTCAACCAATAAATTGGCACTGAAAAAAAATGAAAGTGGAATTGCTTAGATATTAAGAGCCTTAAGAGGTGTATGAACCAAATGTAGTTAACATTAAGAAATTACGTTTTTGTTGAATGATTAATAGCACTGTGTTTATGTAAAAATGGCTGAAGTTTATATAAACAAGGTGATACAGTGTCTGGAATTTTCTTTAAAATGTTCACGGAAAAGAGGGTGAATAACAAGTTTGTCAAAATGGTGGTAAGATGAGTGTCTTGGGTACACAGTTATTGTATATTTGGTTTTTGCTATTTTCTCTATTTTTATGTATTTAAAGTGTTCTATAATGTTTTTAAAAGGTAAAATTATGCAGTGTTATTACCAGTTTGAAGTGAATTTTTTTAGTGAATGAATTTTTAAAATGCCTATATATTAGAACTTGTGGATATTGCCAAAGCTCTAAGCAGTGGGATATTAAATATGCTATAATGTATTTAGGAAATTAAAGAATGAGGGTCCAGATTTTACTAATTAACTTATTACTCTATCTGTTACAGTTCCTGTCCCATCATACTTCATACATATCATATTTTTAAAGAATGAGTAAAAGCAATTAAATGTGGAGATTGATGGAATAGACATTGCTAGCAATGTGTAGACCACTCAAAATTGAGCTACTAAAAACTTGAAGTGTAACTAGTTCAAATTAAAATGTTAAGTGTAAAGTACACATGGGGTCTTGAAAATTTACTTAAAAAAGAATGTAATATATCAATTTCTCACAGCATTTATCTGCTGTGATGTGGAAGCAGTGATACATTCAGTGGATAACATTGTTATATAATACAGAATCCAATTTAAGTGTGTTTCTACTTCCAAGTAGCACATTTTTATACTGAGGTCTTCTTGGTTCTACCCTGAGTCATGCTGGGATTTTTTTTATTCCTTCATAAACGGTGGCTTGTGTGTACAGCTGAATAGTTTGCTTAGATTATTTTTAGCCTGTAGACATTTTGGGATCCAAAGACCCTCTCTCACTTTGTACTCTTTCTGTCTTGTTCAACTTTGTATTGCTTCAAGTAGTACAGTTCTCTTAAAAACTATTTTATGTGTGTTATTAGGGTTCATTCAATTAGACAAAGGATCAATAGGATCTTCTCTGTATGGGGTTCACTGTGAGGCTGCTGTGAAAAAATAACTTTAAAATTATTAGAAGGCCTGCTATCTCACAGAAAGGGTAAAAGTTGGCTTCATGTTTACCCTAAGGCTGCATTTTCATGCAGAACCATATAGTTGATTGTTTTTCCTCTCTCAGGGTTTTTATACCTCTGAGGACATTTTGTTACCTGGAAACAGTCATAGAACCTGCTATATTTCCCTGAAATTGTATTTAAAATATGTACAAATTTCTATAACAAATATAATGTGTGTGGGGTTTTTTACTCTCTTATTATGATGGATTACCTTCATAGATTTTCAAATATTTATCAAGTCTGGAATAAAGTCCATGTGTTTATAATTTATACCATTGACCCTTGAATGCAGGTGCAGGAAGCTGATCTATTAGCTGAAAATTTGTGTATAACTTTTGACTCCATCAAAACTTAACTATTATTAGCCTACTACTAATAGTCAGTCATACTGAAAGTATAAACAGTTGATTAATGTATATTATGGATTTTACATGTGTTATATACTATATTCAATGGATCTCAGCTAGAGGAAAAATGTTAATACCATAAGGAAAATACATTTACAGTACTATGCTGTATTTAGTGATACCATAAATATACATCATCTGCAAGATGAATTATCAGTACATACCTAAGTACTGTCTTGTATGATACAAAACAATGTAGATGTTACACATATCACTACATATTAAAAATAAAAAGATGTGAAAAATCCATTTATTTATAGGTATAACTGTGATAACAAAGAAGCAGCAATATGATTCTTTCATGGCAGCCTAGCCTATACATTAATGAGTCATAAAATTTTTATGGCATACAACATTAGCCATATTTATAATACATTATTGGAAATATTACATTATTTAAAGGCCACTTATCTGTGATGGGCTAATACAGTTTCTCCAATTATGAGAAGTACTGCACAATAATGCAATTCACAGAGAGCAAAGTTAGAACAATGAAAAAGCCAACATTAATTTTATAATACAGATTAATAACATGCCTATGTAAGGGATAGGCTATCCACTTTAAGTCTTATTCACTATGTTCTACATGATGCATACTTAGGCAATGATGATACAAAAATGTCTCATGATTTCTGGCCAAGTTAGTAGAGTAGGTAAACACTGCTCACCTCTTCCCATGACCACATCAAAATTCCAGCCAAACTATGGAATAACCATTGAGAGCCACCTGAAGACTACCTGAGAAGTCCTATAACTAACAATATAAAAAGGAAGCCACTGTAAGACTGGTAGGGGTGGAGATGGTAAATCAGCTATCCCACACCCACCTGGTGTGGAGAAACCTCACTGAGGAGTGAAGCAGTTTCAGCTTCACACCTAGTTCCCCCAGCACAGGTTTCCAGTGAGAGAAAGAGAAGTCTCTATAACTTGTGGCTGTGAAAACCAGCAGGGATTGTGGCTGAGTAAGATAGAGTTTCTGGAGTCCCAGGTACTCCTCTTAAAGGGCCTGCAATAGACTTACTGATGGGCTTGCTCAGAGCTTCAGCAGTGGGGCAGCAGTTTGAAAAGAACCAAAGACAGGAAGGGACTAAATTGTCTGGATTCAGGACAATGTCTTGAAGGGCAGCTTTCTCCCCGACAAGTGCTGGCAAGGGCTATAGTTCCTTTGTTGAGCCCTACTCTCACCCAGTCTGCAGGCTCAGGCAACACCATGTATAAGTCTCCAGCAACTTGGCTAATGTTATTGCACTTCAGTTTCCTGAGACTCCATCCCACCAAACTTGTGAGACCACACTTCCAGTGGTTTTGCCATACAACTGGCCAGTCTTGGCTCATGCTTTGGAACTCTATAAAAATGCATAGGTTTATGCCCAACACCTCTTGCTAAGTGGCCCCAAACCTGGAACTGTGACAGTTAGTTTAAGTTTGCAGGTTAACCTCTCTCAGGCACTGGCAAGTTCAGCACAAGTGGCAACATCTGCTAATCACTTTATAGCTCATATGAGATGGCCCTAGGGCAACAGCTGATATTGTCCTGGAGTTGATCACAATGGAGACAGAGCCAGTCCCAAGAGGTCCCAGAGTCAACACACTTGGTGGCCAGTTTCAGACTACAGCAGAAACCACTCAGCCACCTCCACAAATGACAGTAGGACCAGAACCACGATAAGTGAATACTGCTTCATGGGGTCAGTCCCTGCACAACAGATCCTCTGCTATTGTCATCACCAGTTCTCATGGCCAATCTTCCTGAGAGTCAATCTCTCCCATTTACATGCCAACAACAATAATGGTTCAATTACCACAGGAAGGCACACAAAACCCACACAAAAGACACACCTGGAGCACTCAACTCGGGTGACCAGGGAGACTGCCACTGGACTCTACAGAACACCCACTACGTAAGGCTACTCTACCAAGACTGGGAGAGGTAACTGCTCTACCTGACAACATAAGAACAAACAGAGAGTCAGACAAAATAAGGGGAAAGAATTCAAAGTGAAAGAATTAAACGCCAGGAAAAAAAGACTAAACAAAATGGAGACATGCAATCTACCAAATGCACAGTTCAGAATACTAAACTGAACTTAGAGGAAGAATAGGAGAACTCAGTGAAAACTTTAACAAAGACATAAGAAACAAAAATGAAGATAGAAAATATTTTTTAATTAGTTGCAAATGAAGAATACACTAAAGGCACTCTCAGATTACATAAAGCAGAGAATTTACCAGTGATTTGAAAGACAATGGTAGCAGAAAACACCCCATTGAAACAGCAAAAGAAAAAAAATGAGAATAGTTTAAGGGGCCTCTGGAACAATAACAAGTATACTAACATTTATATCATACAGATTTCAGAACAACAGGAGGAATCAAGGAATTTAAAATCTACTTGAAATAATAATGGAAAACTGCCCTTATCTGGCAAAGGAAATAGGCATACAAGTTGAGGAAGTGCTGTGAATCCCACAGAAGATAAATTCAAAGGCCCAAACCAAGACACTTATTAAATGCCAAATATTTAAGAGAATCTTAACAGGGGGAAAAAGCAATTTGTTACCTCCAAGGGAATTTCCATGAAACTGTCAGCTAGTTTCTCCACTGAAACTTTGCTGTTAGAAAGGACTGGCATGAAATGTTCAAAGTAATGAAAAGAGAGGACCTGCAACCAAGACTACCCAGCAAGGCTATCATTTAGAATCAAAGGAGAGATAAAGAGCTTCCCAGTCAAGAAAAAGCCAAAGGAGTTGATCACTACCAAAGCAATGTTAACAAGAATTTGTTAAAATGACTTAAAAGGGAAAAAGTTAAAAATATGAATAGCAAAATGGCAATAACTACATACCTATAAATAATTACTTAAAATATAACTGGATTAAATGCTCCAGTAAAACACACACACACACACACACACACACACACACACACACACACACACAAACCATAGGGTGGCCAAATAGGTAAGAAAGCAAGATCCATACATATGCTACCTACAAGAGACCCAGCTCAGATAGAAAGACACGTAATAAAAGTAAACAGATGAGAAAAGATATTTCATGCAAATGGAAACAAAATAAAAGCTGGGGTGGTAGTAATTATATCAGACAAAACAGACTTTAAAACAAAGGCTGTCCTGGTGTGTGTGGCTCAGTTGGTTAGAGTGTCATTTCATACACTGAAAGGTTGCTGGTTCAATTCCTGGTCAGGGCCCATGTCTGGGTTTCAGGTTTGATCCTCAGTCCGGGCACATGCAGAAGGCAACCAATCAATGTTAAGAAAAAAAATAAAGGAAAAAAAAACAATAAAGGTTATAATAAGCAACTAAGGAGGACCCAGGAATTCCACTTCTGGGTATTCAAAAAAATCCAAAACCCTCATTTGAAAAGATATCTCTCCCTATGTTTATTGCAGCATTGTTTACATTGTATATTGCAGCATTGTTTACATTGGACCAAGACATGGAAGCAACCGAAGTGTCCATTAATGAATAAAGAACAAGTGGTAACATATATGCCATAAAATATTACTCAGCCATGAAAAAGAATGAAATTTTGCATCTCCAACCATATGGATGGACCTACAGGGTATTTTACTAAGTGAAATGGGTCAGAGAAAGAAAAATCCCATTTGATTATACTTATACATGGAATCTAAAAAACAAAAATCAGAAACTCAGAGATACTGAGACATTTTGATAGTTGCCAGATGTGAGGAGGTTTGGAGACATTGATGAAAAAAGGAGAAGGGATTAAGTTGTGAAAATTGCAAGTTATAAAAATAGCCATGAGGATATAAGGTACAGCATGGGGATTTAGTCAATAATATTGTAGTAACTATGGTGTCGTGGGTACTAGATTTATTGGGGTAATCAGTTTATAAGTTATATAAAGTCTAATTACTACATTGTGCACCTGGAGCTAAAATAATATATATGAACTGTAATTAAAAATATGGTTTAAAATGTCTCATATGGTTATTGTCATGCAGTTACTAGATTTTTAAAGACACATAACAGATGAGTTTATTAACTACAGTGTGACCATTATTTACTATTAAGTGGAAGTGGATCATCACATAAAGATTTTCATCCTTGTTCTTTGTGTTGATTAGCCTGAGGAGGAGTAAGAGGACGGTTTGATCTTATTGTCTCAGGTGGCAGAGGTGGAAAGAGAGGCCTGCATACTGGGTGTAACTTTGTGTGAATATATTGTAATTTCTGTCTGACTTCCTTTTTTATTTCTCTGAAAATATTTCCCTAGCCACCCCTGTCATCATCCAATGGACTCATGAACAATATGGCCATGGTGGCAGGGATAAAGATTATGCATGGGATCAGCAACGTGAACTTTCACACGCCAGGGCTGACTTACAAATGGCCATTGTTAAGTCTTCAATAGAACAGCAGCAAAGACCAACACTGAAACCACCCCGCCTCCCAATATGGCACCATTCTTGGGAGTATTCAGCCAGATACCTCATTGCAAGTTGATTACATTGGACCACTTTTTATTATGGAAGGGGAAGCTTTTTGTCCTTATTAGAATAGAAACTTCCTATGGATATGGATTTGCCTTCATTTCATGCCATGCTTCTGCTGCAACTACTATCCATGAATTTTGCCTCATCTACTGTCATGGTATTCCACACTGCATTGCTTCTAATCAAGTAAGTCCACAGAAAAAGAAGAGCAGCAATGGCTCCATGCTCATCAATATCACATTTTACCATGTTCCTCACCGTCCTGAATCAGTTGTCTTGATAGACTGGTGGAATGACCTTTTGAGGACTCTGTTACAGTACCATCTAGGGGGGCAATATTTTAAAGGCTGAGGCGAGATTCTCTAGAATTCTGTATATAATCTGAATCAGCATCCAAATTATATGGTTGCTTCTCCAATAGCCATGGATACAGGAGTCAAAGGGTGGTGTAAAATAACACTGAAATATATGTATGTTTATATGTCTGTGCCCCCATTTCCTGACACAGAGCTAAAATGCTTGTAATTTTCTGAGTGATTAGAACACTAGGGGCATCACATTCTAATATTTAATCTGTGACCTTGTTCCTGACATAGGGCTCTTGAAACCCTTATACTTTCCTGGATGATTAAAGTATCTTTTGTTCTAATGAGCAGTTCTGAATGGGCTCTTGGATGAGAGCTGGTCACTAGAAGGACCAAGTCATGAATAAAAGCTAGGGATTTTCAGCACTCCCCACCTTCTCTTGAGAAAAGAGAAGAGCTGGACATTGAGTTAATAATCCATCATGCCTGCATGATGAAGCCCACATAGAAACCTCAAATGTACAGGGTTTGGAGAGCTTCCAGGTTGGTAAACACATCCAACTCCACAAGAACAGAAGCTCTTGTGCTTCAAGAGCTCTTGAAGCTCTTGTGACCCATCCAGACCTCACTT